AACGGAGTAGAGAAGATCGAAGGTACAGACATGGATGATGCCTGAGGTTAACCATAATACCACACACTGGAAGCCACGATCTATACCAACCTACAAAACGTACTCCCAAAGCTCCAGCCTCTAGTCCGATTTCCATAATTTGACCCCCGATTGATCCCAACATCGATGTGAGATTTAAGTCCCCGATTTGCTCAGTTCGATGACCAGAACCGTTATTTCCTGCGGTCCTGGTCCTAGTCAGCATCTTTTTGCAGGGCTCCCAGTCCCATTTTCAATGCCCAGGGGTTTACGCGGTTTTGCTATTTTACTTTTAATTTACTTTTTCTTGTTCCCCGCCTGTCTGGCATTCTGTTTGTTTCTTTCTCCTCGTCAATGCTCTATCCAATCAATCGTGAGGCATGCAATGACCCAGGGTAATTTGCCTCCGGAGCTCTTTTCTCGTATTTTCGTATCCATTAGCTACTGTATGCTATATTATCTTCATGGGTTGATGTTTTCATGGGTTGATGTCTGCCTGTAAATGGCATGGGTATGGGCGGCCTAAGTAATAATTGGTTAGTGGTTATTACAGGGTCATGCAAGATTAAAGGGCTTTTCGTATTGGGCAATCAGCAATTCGTATTTCCTTTGCTTTTGCTTTTTTATTGTTTTATATATTTTTACTTTTATTATGGCTTTTCGCGGGGGCTCCGCGGTTAAAACCAAACGGAGCAGATTAGGTGTTGTACATATCCAGAACCGGCTGGAAGGGTGGGAAGATGCACACTAGAACAAGAAACTAGAGCCAGTTAGGGAGTTGAGCAGCATCCTGTTTGGGTAGAGTTCAAAGGGGCTGGGTTTAGGCCTTTTGGCTTGCGGTTCTTGTTCGTTTCTTGCTAGGCAGCAGAGATTATGCCTACCGTTGGGGATTATTCTTATGTAAAGTACAGAGTAAGAAATGCAGATATATTTATTTAGAGTATCGATTATCTGGTCAGTGGTGTACTGTACTTATGTTTTTATGTATCATGTATGTAATGAATCAAAAGGCGCAGATCGTGATCGACGGTACATGTGCAGCTGAGATTTTATTGCATCCCAGCTCAGCCTTGGTTTGGCTATTGCGGCAATGCAGAGTATTTACAAATCTAGCATAGTTTCAGTATATGAAATAACGAAGTGAAACATAAACAGGTTTTTTGAATGCGGGTGTTTGATTCGATCTCTTATTCTTTCTTATTTGGTTTGTGTCCACGAGGATATAGATCGACCCATGACTCAAATACATGTTCCCCCACCATCATAACTTTTTTCCAAAATGGAAGTGATCCTCGTATCATCTCAGCCTCCCATGCAACTCGGCAGATTCCGATATTTTAAACACTATAATCCATGTCAACTTTGTCTGCTATAGACTGGGGTGGTAATATCTGTATGCGGCAAGAGGTTGAAGTATTGGCTTCCTATAGATCAGTTAGGGTTTAATTGTGGAGATCAGACTCTCTTTTACTTTAATCTGAAACACGTAGATCAGTTCATTTCAATAAAGTGTTATTACCGCATCTGTATACGTGGCTTGCCACCGGGGAGCTACATCGCATCCCGATGAGAAGAAAATGAGTTAATCAAGGGCGCTCAGATATTTTGTTAGGTAAAGATTCCTTATTGGGGGTTGGGTTTTCTCACGGCCGAACGGAAAAGTACTTATGCACGTCGTACAGGGAGTGTCGGCCAAAAGGACAATCCTAGGCGCCTTTTGGCCTATTTACTATCTTACGCTTTTATTATTAGTTCGCTATCCCAGGACATTTGGATAATTCTTATATACATTCCTTTGTGTGTTATTGCCACTCCATGTATCATGATCTTTCTACTGCTCGTGCACTTGAACTCTACTTTGCCTTTCTGGGCCGACTACTTTGTTCTGTCTCTTTATTTACCTCAATTACTCGGTTCTCCTGCCTAAATTCAGTGACAAATTCATCCTAAGTGTTAGATGGAGTACGTAACCTTTATATTCCCACTACCTTAGCATATCATGTTGTTTTATATCAATTTATCTGGTGGAAAAAGACCCAAACAAATTCTTCCAAAGTATTTCATGTCATCAACTATGTTTGCCTAACCTGGGGCGCAATTCTTGACTATTGTGACACCTAAGGGAGGGAGCAAAGCAGACAAAATGCTGCTCATTTCGTTCGGACTCCTTAAAACCTAGGGATAGTCCAAATTCAAGAGATCCTAGATTTTTGGATAGTTGCCCAACTCCGATGCAGTGGCGATTTGGGCCCTCCGCATCCTGTGTTTGTTTCCGCATAGTGACCGTCTGATACAGTTCATGAAATAAACACCCAGGGCCTTTTTTTTAGCGGTGTCTAGAAGACGGACGAAGCTTGAGCTGTATGAGGCCTGCGATGGTCAACTCCACTAATCAATATAGGTCGCGGAAAATCTGTGAGTAGCTGAATGCCTCCTTTCCTATCCCCAGCCTTTCGATACTTCGCCTCCGAGTTGAGTTTGGGCTCAGATCCAGGTCTGCCACACAGCATATCAGGCAAGAAGAGCTCAATAGCATAAAACATCCAAGACAGGCAGACCAGGCTTGAATGAAACATGTCATATAGTGTCATCGTGTACATTGGAGCATGGATAGCAAGCATTCTATGAAATATAACGTCAAGCCATTGACATACGATGTAAACACATGGACCCTGGGTTGTCAGTACGATGAGAATCAATCCTATACGGCATAAATCCACGACAGCCCACAGGGCAAGACACCCCTGTTCCTTAGTCTCCGTATCTAGCCCAGGTAGTGGAGTATCATTCCTTAATGCCTTGACATGTTGGGGATATCAGTTTAGATCGGTATTTGCGTTCATCTGTCCAACTCTCTACCCCCTGGCTTTGCAGTGTGCCATTGTCCACACCAGGTAGATTGGTCTCTATCTCCGTGTTCCACTTAAACGTCCTCCGAGCATTGTGTTACTTTGGCTGTCTCGCCGTGAATAGAACCACATGACCTAATTTATAGATCCATATCAGGCTGACGCCGACGTATAGGAGCCCGATAATGGGCATGTTGAGGGGATTGAAGTGGAATTCTTTTGGGGACTGGGAAGGAATCCTGTCTTTCGAAGCTTGTCTTGCACAGAAACGGGTTCCCGCCAAGGATAGACATGTATATATTGTAAATCTTTGAATCCCTAGCTAGCACGCGAATAACTACCCTCCGGGGTATGTCGTGGTTTATCTCCAAGTGGGAACTAGTTTATCTTAGCGCTATATGTACATGCAAAGTCATCCTGTCTAATTCGGGGCAATGATCTTACGTCTCCCCAGCCTTGAAATATGATGTTTTCCGTTCTCCAAGTTTACACTAGAAGGAGAGAATCAAAGCATATAACCAGTCCAAGATCGACCTAGAGAAATCCCCTTCCCCATAGGTTCCACATTGGGTATCTGATCCTGATCTTTTAGATACACAACGTTGTCATTCAATGGTCAAGGGTCCCTTGTGACGCAGTCCAAATGATATAGATCAATTGTGTTCCGAAGACAGGGTGTGTTAGAGCTGCACGATATGTGCAGTCATGAGGATAGTCCTTTGTGTCTATGCTTGATGTTGATATGCTATTGTTCGGTTCGAGGGTATAAGAGAACTATTCAGAAAATAGCGTCCAGCAATTTCAATACTTTATGTTGGTTGTCCGGTCTGGCAAATGAGTTTATCAGCCAGTTACCTAGTGGCTTTATCTCCAACAAACATAATTAGCCCTAATATCGAAATTAAATAGACCTAACATGTGATCAGATAACAAGTGTTATCCTAGACGCATATATCCCAACAAACATATGAAATTGTCACCAACAAAAAAAAGAGAAGAAACCACAAACATTCCAAATCACCTCATAACAATCCCCACCAGACCACCTGCCCCTCGCATGTCTTTCCCAATCGGAGCAAAGAAAAAACCGGGAATTAAAATCCCCCGCTGATTGGCCTCTCAGCCCAAGAACCAGCGCGTCACGATCTGGACCAGGCTAAGCAATGATCCACCTCTCTCAGCCGCAGCAATTCTTCCGAGCCACAGGTGTACTAAGCTCAACAAAGAAAGGGAAAAAAACGTCCGGCGGGTGTATGGGGGTAAGCGGGCACAACCCAGTCCCTTCCCTGCTTCTGCGTCTGCGTCTGACAACCATGCGCAGTGAACAGGGCGGTTGGGGGTGTTTGAGCAGCCGCATGGACATGACATGGGATATGCGACATGTGTGGGGAAAAAGAGAGACAGGGCAAGGCAGAGAGATCAGGCCATATCCCGTTGCGTGCACGACAGAATACTATCCCGTACTGTAGGTGCTGACCACTTTATCAATTGGTTGGCTCCCACTGCTTGTTTGTCTTTCTGGCTGGTGACCCGATACAAGACAAAAACCAAGAGACAAACAGGCACAGGCTCGCTATGACCGCCTCTTTCCGCGACGAACCGGGTCCCTTTTTGAATCCCGGGATCTCCGATCCGAAATAGAATCCTGGATGCGTGGATGCTTAGTTTGGAGTCTGGAGTCAGGAGTCTGGTGTCTGGTGTCTGAATGGAGAGGGCACGGGCGTCAGCATTGCAATGCAATACTGACAGTTCAGTTTCTGGTGGACTTGATTGAGGCTCAGAGACGGGACTCCCAGGACAACCTGGGCAAACCTGCAACGGGCTGGCCTGACCTGGTTTTCTTTGGGCGCCCGCGCCCCCTTCTTAGCCAGTCCCGTTCCACCCTAGGGTTCCGTGGCTGACTTTCTGACTCCGTAGACATTCACGACAGAGACGCTCTCAGAGAAACATATGCAGATATCGTCATGGGAGAATCAGCGATCACATGAGCATCGGGAAATGCGAGCCAGGACCTGTGCGCCATCATGCCTGTTTCCCTTCCCTCTGTGTCCCATCCATTCAAGCCCTTCTAGTTTTTTTCAATTGCTCCGCTTCTCTCAAACACCCCTAGTACAAAGTAGGAACTTATTTCGTCTAGCGCTGTGTCGACTCATCCCCACCAACGCGCGAAACGCGCACCGCCATCTGCCGATCCAGCGCTTCCTGCTCTTCCTTCGAGGGCTGCATACCCAGCGCGCTCTCGACCTTCGACTCGGTCCAAAGTCCGATACCTGCCCAGGCCATCACGCCGATTCCGAAGAGAGCCCTAGTCTTGGGGCTGAGGCCGCGGTAGGAGCTGTATTGGGAGGGGGAACCTTGTTAGTCTGGGGTTTAATGTTGGGATTGTTTTTCTTTTGATTGTCGTAGTCGCGTGATAGGTTTTGAGGGGTTATGTCACGTACCTCCAGAGAGACATTGGGCTGGATTGGAGTGAGGGGATTGTCGGGTTGGACAAGATACGGCGACTGTGCACTATGTACTGTTATTCCGTAGGTTGGATTTGGTATTCCGTGCTTGGGCTGGCCGGGTCACGTGGTGATAGTGTCACGGTATGGTGCCTGAGGCTGATAACTATATTATATACTTCGATTTAGATACTTTGATTGTACAAGTGTGACGGGTTCGAGGGTGTGGGTTTGTCTCTCAGTACGATGTCCTGTCAAGTACATGTACACCATGGGTACGGGGGATGGAGATGAGCTGGTGTAACTGTGGCTGATCGCTGAGGTACCCTGGTACTTTCGACAATGGCATGCAGGTACCACCGTTGTATATGGCTAGTAGATTTAGCAGGTGATGAACACATATATCTACTAGACAATTGAACTAATGTTTTGTTAAACATATAAGGCGGCACCCGGAAGAAGCCACCAGAATAGAGTTGGGGCACAAATGATGAGATAAACTAGATAGAATAAGATAGAAGCCAGAACCATTGCGACGTCGGTCTGATCATGTCCGCATTCATCACTGTCTCGTCTACATCGTGGGAGGAGAGAGTGACAGAGTCAAGCCATATCCCATCAAACAGGCATATCAACAGGATCAAAAGTCGAAGGAAACGCAAAGTGAGCAAAACCAACAGAACAGAGAGGGTGTCAAAGCGGAATCAGATGAAAGCAAAGAGGAAAGACAAATAGCAGTGAAGCTGGGAAATCAAAATGACGCAGCAGGCATTTCAATGCGCTCTTTTTTTCAGTTCTTGCCGTACGCTTTGTTGATCTCCTTCTCGTATCTGTTAAGGATCTTCTTGCGCTGGAGCTTCTGTGCGGCGGTCATGAAACCCTATTGACAACGTTAGCTTGATTTTGTTAATCTGTCTCTTTCGGTTGTTACTTACGTTTTGAGGGGTCCATTCCTCATCAGACAGCACGACACCGTTGATGATCTCAATACCACGGAGGCCACCGGCACGGCCGGCAGCCTGGAGCTGCTGTAGCACGATCTTGTTGAGCTTGTCGTTGTGAACAAGGGTCTCCAAAGTGTCACCCTCGATGCCGTTGCTGTTAGCAATCTTCTTGAGGGCCACCTCGACGGGGACAATGACAGCAATAGGCTTGTCTTGGTCTTCGGCAGCGTAGACACAGATATTGCCAACAACGGGGGAAGAGCGGTAGACAGACTCGAGCTTCTCCAGAGCAATGTATTCGCCGTTCAGGGTCTTGACCAAGTTCTTCTTGCGGTCAATGATGTTCAGGTTGCCGTTGCGGTCGAACTCGCCAATGTCACCGGTCATGAACCAACCATCCTCGGTGAGCGCAGCCTTGGTCTCCTCCTCGTTGTCGTAGTAGCCTGAGGTCACACTGCCACCGCGGATGAAGATCTCACCCTGGGGAGGGTTGTTCTTGGTCAGGTATCCGGCATCGGGGAAGTCAACCAGCTTGATCTCGATCGAGGCAGGAATATCACCCAGCACATTAGGGTTCCAGGCCATTGGGTCGCCCAGGGCACCCATGGCGGAGGTCTCGGTCAGACCGTAGCCGCTGATCATGGGGGCGATGGCCATGGATAGGAACTTCTGTGTCTCCTTGGAGACGGGACCACCACCGTTCATCACGATGCGGAGGTTGCCGCCAGTGGCCTCCTTCAGCTTCTTGAACACAACGGTGTCCAGGAACCACGCACCCATGCTGGAACCGGGGAAGCCGGTGGTCATCAGGAAGTTCTTGGCCGACATAGCACCCCAGAACATGCCTTTGACCAAGAAGCTGTTCTTGTTCAGGTTGTTCAAGACACCCTTCTTCACCGATTCCCATACGGCGGGGACACCGACCAGGATAGTAGGTTTGAACTCCTTGATATCACCCTGGCAGTTGCGCATTGAGGCGTCCGACAGAGTGCGGGGGTTACCATACCCCATGGTACCACCCCAGAACAAGCAAAGGTTCTCGAACATGAATTCGAGAATGTGCGATTGGGGCAGATATGTCAAAAGCGAGTCCTTGTGGTTGATATAAGGACCAACGATCTCGTTGACACCGGCAGTGGCAGCAATAACGTTGGCGTGAGTCAAAGGAACACCCTTTGGCGGGCCGGTTGAGCCAGAGGTGTACATAATACAGCAAAGGTCCTCGGGCTTGGGAGGAACGGGTTCCACGTTGTTCTCCTCACCCAACTTGCGCAAGTCCTCAATGCTCTGCACATTGATGTGAATATATTCGCTGTGGAGCTGGTCAAGCAGCTTCTGGTCCACCTCTCCGTCAGTGTTATAGATAATGTGCTTGATCGAGGGGACGCTGCGGAGGATGTTGATGAGGGACTTGATCAGGCTGGGGTCGAGGAAGATGGCAGTACTGCCGGTTTGGACCAGAGAGTGCTTCAGGCCCTCCTCGCCTAGGGTATCATATGCGGTCACAATGGTCACGGACTGAGAGGCAGCACCTATAGCAGCTGATTAGCGGAAAGTCACAAAAGACGCAGGGAGAGAACGAACCGTGTGACATGGCGAGCCAGTTTGCGCTGTTAACAAAATAGAGTAATAAAGTCAGTTCTTTGCGTTCAATCTACATCACAGCGCATATGTTCTCACCTCGTAGCACCGTAAAGATGGATTCGGCTGTCCTTCTCGAGGCCAAGCTTGCGGAGACCGCAACCAAGCTGCAGACAGAGTTGCTCGTACTCGAGGAAGCTCTTGTAGGTGTACCCACTCATCTCAAAGTAAGTCCACTGCTTGTCGACCTCCTGCTCGACACCATCGACGATCCTCTTGACCTTCTTGTTCTCGACGTGTGTCTTGATCAACTTGCGACTGCCGACAGCCTTGGCATTGCCGAAGACGCGGGCGGATCGGCGGAAGTTGTCATAGGTGGTCGCAACATCTTCTGAGGGACGCAGAATGAGACCATCCTTGGCCGCGGGGTGCCGCCGAGGGATAGTCTCACCGGGGACAGGTTCATAACCGGGGGCTTCGACAGAGAAAGGCCCCTTCTTGGCCATGCGCGGTTGGATATGGAGGTCGCGCTTCGACATGCTGGCGGTATAGCTTGTTCAAAGGGAGGGGAGAGGGGTGCCAGGGATCGACAGAGAATACTCGTCGGGCAGGCAGTTAGAAAAGTTCTGTCCGGGGGCGGAGGTTAGCTAGTGCGGAATGGGGGGACCCGTGAACAACACAAGCTGCGGAGTAGTCAACGCCGAGCTTACCAGCGACCAGAAAGTGAGTAATTGGGAAAGAAAAAGATGAGCTTCACGGGAAAAAGAAAGAGGAGGTGCCTGAGCTGCAGGGCCAGAGGTCCGAGATGTGGCTGGGCTCTGGCAATATGACGCAGCTACGGTTCCTTGCTCGGGAGTCGAGGTACTCCGTACTACTCCGTAATTCTCCTTAATCCTTTCTAATATGTTCGGTTTTTCACTAATTTGCATAAGTACGCCACGGCACTAGGCCTGTGCTCATTTCAGTTGCAATAGCTAGTAGCTCAAGAGCTAGCAGGTTTAGTTAGTGTTGTCTTTGCCGGCTGATCAGTTCCCTTTTCTTTTTGTTGGGTCCCAACAAGTCAATACGAACTACTCGCATGTTTAAATCTTAACAAGAATACGGACTGCATAGCCTCCCGATTAGGTATACAGTGTACTGCAAAGTTACAAACCCCTAATCTATTGATATAATTTCCCCCGTAGAGCCTCTGGTCCCGTGATCGTAGATCTGAAAACCCGCACTCATCCAGATCGAATATCAAAAAGAACAACCAATGGACCAAATCATCGAACTACTCGCCACAGGTGAAGAAGTCCTCGATGTCGAAGAGGGTAAGCCAATGCAGCCAAGCCCAAAGCAAGCCAAAGTTAAACATACGACAGAGTCATTCCTCCTCTTCGCGCAAGACATCCCAACCAACAACCTGGGCATGATCGATTCCCGCGCACAATCAGTGGAAGTATCAATCCATGGCAACGAATATACCATCCATCAATCCCCTGCACTCCTCTCTGGTCACAGAGCCGGGGGTACTACAGGCGCCGGTGAGTCCAGTCCACGAACATGCGTACATAGCTGCATAGCCGTTCGTATGATCTGCACAGGTTCATTCCCCTGATCCCCCATTCCAGCACGGACTCCGGTTACTCTGCCCCGCACACTCTGTTTTCTGCTTTGCTTTTTATTGAATGTCTTGCCCAGACCGGCCCACGGGCATGGGGCGTCCAATCGTCTCTCGCGTTTGAGCCGAGGTCGCGTGTTTTCCATTTGATTCCTAGGTTCGAGGTGCTTTCTTTTGGTTTGAACACGAGCTGGCTTCTGTCACCTGCGCTTCTCTCTCTTGGCCCTCTATATCTTCATAACTTGTGGCTTCTTTCTTTACCACTCATATCACTCATTGTTTCTATCACCGCTACTGCCACTGCCAATCACTCCAGCCGACTAACAGATACGAAATAACAAATAACTAACCAAACAAAATAGTCTTGTGGAAAATCACCCCCCTCTTCGCAGAATGGATAACCTCCCTAACAAACCCCCTCTGGACAACAACGCTCCTAAACCAATCCTCAACAATAGTCGAACTAGGCACCGGCATCTCAGCCCTGGTAGCCCTAACCTTGGCCCCCTCAGTGCGCCACTACATCGCCACAGACCAAGAATATGTACAGCGGTTATTTCGCACGAACCTGGATGCCAATGCCTCAATCTCGTCCTCTGCCTCAGCGGGAACAACAAGTAATAGTATGAGCAAGAGTGGCAAGGGGAAGGGAGGCAAGACTTCCAAATCCAAGCAAACCTCCACGTATTCAAACCCAAGCGCCAAGGCTGGCAATGCTTCTAATATCAGCTTCACAACTCTAGACTGGGAAACCGATCAACCAGGTCAATTAAAGGAGGAATGTATACCATTTGAAGCAACACAATCTGACGACAATGATGAAGAAGAAGAAACCGACCGCGGCTTCGACCTCCTGTTATCCTGCGATTGCATCTACAACGAAGCCCTCGTCTCACCATTCGTGCGCACATGCGCTGAAATCTGTCGGCTGCGTCCGCCGTATAACCCTTCCGAGGCTGAGCAGGGCTCACGATCACATCGTCGACCGACGATCTGTATTATTGCGCAGCAGCAGAGATCGCCGGATGTTTTTGAGACTTGGTTGAGGGAGACTATGCGTGAGTTTCGGGTTTGGAGGCTTGGGGATGATGTTCTTGGTGAGGGATTGAGAAGTGGAACTGGGTATTTGGTTCATTTGTTGTTGGTTAAATGAGATGATGTGGAGGATGAAGGGGGTGGACTAGTTGCTAGAGTACATATTGATGGTGGACATGCATATAGATTGAGCTGTACATATAGACATACATAGAGAATGAGGTGCGTATCTACAATAGACACAGTTACGGACATGCACATGGACAGTGATAAATAGGATATGATATGCTATGCAATATGCAATTTACTATGGACAAGTCCTGCCACTCTAACAAGAATCAACAGCTGTAAGACGTGACATCAAAAAACAACTGACACCAGGACCACCCAGACACAAACAGAGGGTATTCAAAAAGATGAGAGATGCAACACCCAGCATGATGGCAGACACAACATGGTAACAGCCAGAACATAACAGAACAACAGATAAACAAGATGCAATTGATGATTATCGTATTTGAGAAACCGGACAATCCGTAGATTACCAGATCACCGAGTGAGACAATTATGTATGAGTAGCCAGCGGCAATAGACAATAATAAAAGGGGAAAAAATGATAATATGTAAAAAAACGAGCAAAGGATTATTACTCATGGACACCATCTTTAGGCTCCGTATTCTCCTTTTCAGGCTGCGAGTATTCAAACTTGCGCTTCAACGAACCAGAAACAGAAGACTCAGTCGGCGTAGGCGAAGGACCCTGCACAGCAGCCTCAGAAGGTGGCAGATGCGCCAGAGCCTCTCTAGGCTCCGAATCCGGCGTCCGGTCGATAATAGAGGAGATGGATTGTTTGGTTGAGCCGTTACCATTCAGGAGGGCAGGCTTGGGGGGCGTAGCAGCGTTTGAATCAACCGGCGTACCCTCCGTGTCGGGCATATAGCGATCCCGCTCTGGGAGTTCTGTTTTGACGCGGTAGGAGGGTTCACGGTCGATGTCGGCGTCGGAGTCCGAGTCCATTTCGTCCGGGTCGCCTAGATCTTGGTCCATGTGTGCTGAATGTGGGCTTTCTTCAGTTGAGGCGCGGTGCGTGTTCATGACTGGTGGGAGGGGCGCGGATGGGTCGTAGACGACGCCGCAGACTTCTAGGGCGCGCGACTGGCTGCCCAGCGTGCGGTCTTTGTGTTTCTTTGTGAGGTGGCACATGAAGCCGTGGAGAGTGACAAAGTCAGATTTGTTGCAGCCGTGGATTGGGCATGTTAGGTAGACCAGGCTTCCATCCGAAGGCCTTTTCCAGAGAGCTCGGCCGGAGGGGTCGTGGGCTGCTGGTCGGCCGTGGCGTTCGCCCCATGCTTCTACATTTTTGATGGTGTATTTTTGCTTGCGGCGGATGGATCCGGCGCCGTGTATTGAGTCGTGGGCGACAATTGGGTGTTGGGCATGGGGATGTTGCGATGGTGGGGGAGGTGGGGGAGCTGGGTGGTGGTGAGGTTGAGCGTGGATGTGTGGTGGTGGCATTGGGGGCGCCTGAGATGAAGGTGGGAGAGGCGTTTGGCGGGGCTCGGGAGGGCTCTGCTGCTTGAAGAAGGCCAGTGTTGTTGCCGCGCTGGTTTCTGATAGCCGGCGTGGAGGTGTAGGCCGGAGAGGCGGCGAGTCGGCGTTGGCATTGGGCCCCAGGCCCATGGATTCTCTCTTCAGCTTCTTGCGTTGTCTTCGGAGATCCTAGATTTGTTTAGGTTGGATTCTATTGATCTAGATTATTTGACTCACCTCTTCCTCCGCCTCGGCCCGTTCTGTCATTGATCGAAATTCTTCATCCTCGTGCTTGCGCATTGCCAGAATGCGGCTGCGAGCGGCCATACGAGCCATTTCCTCATGCTCCAGATGGCGGAGTCGAGCTTCAATATGTTCTAGTGAGGCTGGACTGTGTACTGGGGGTACAGCTGGCGGGTGATGCTCATGCATTGGCGCAAAATGCCGAAAATGGTGTGACTGCACCATCTGCTCCGGAGGGGGCATTGATGGATGTGGCGGTGGATTAGGATTCATAGCAATAGGGTGATAACGAGGGAGATTAGCAAGGTGACCAGGTATGCCACTGTCCGTAACAGGGTGGTGCACCGGTGGTGCAGCTGTCATGATGGCTAAGCAAAGAAAGCAAAGAGAGAGGAGGAAGAAAGAGAAAAAGGAAAATGAAGGGAAAATAGACCCATTCCCAATGTATGGGTCATTGACATTCTATTCTAAATATTCTAAAGTAAAGAAAATAAGAAATGACTTCCACTAGCGCGACCCTTCTGCACCCCCGTTATGAAATATCCCGTAACGGCGTAAGGGGATCTAAAGAATTAAATCGAGTAAATCTCGATTCCCACCCTGGTAGCCTCAAACTATCATGTTTTTTTAATTTCCGTAGTGGATATGTTCAAACCAGTTTACACATCTTTGGATCAGAATGGGTCCCAATGATCGCAATCTCCTACTAGTAGGTCACTTGACATCCTTCAGGGGGAAACTTGATCTGTCTAAAATCTATCTGCAGTCTCCCTTGACTGCTATTGGTTCTAGACTATAATTTCAAGGGGAAATTAGAATTTTCCTATGATCTGGAGAACGGCCGTCTTTCCCCGTCGATCGATCACTTCCTAGACAAGCTAAAAACAAAAGTAGGCTAGATCCCCCTAACACGAAAAGTCTTCTATAAACAACAGATCTGCCAAGATATTATGTAACCTGGTTCCTGAGCAGTTCCATGGTACAACAGAGAAACGGGAAGAATCGGTTCTATTGTCATAATAGAATCACTACATTTCTACTGTACATGTAAAATATCCTCACATTATTGTCTACTGGCATAATCTATTCAATATTCCCCCTTCCATGCCAGCCCCCAATACAGGATCCCAGTGTCCCCTAAAATAGGATAGGGTTAAAACTCTGTCATTCTGTCATTCTGACAGCACTAACAACATCCCAGAGCCATGGGATGACTGTAACAGGGTTAAAAATATCAGGGCACAAAAAAATGGTCCCGAACTCCAGCCGGATTGTAGGGTACAAACGCCAGGGCTTAGCTTGTAAAGGAAAAGGAAGGGAAAAACATGTAGAGTGGAGAAATAATGAAGACTAGGGGCACGCTAAAGCAGATGGTCTCACTCCAGAAATGATCGACGAATGGGGTGGAAATGGTATGTATGAAAATTTTCGAGCATACTTTCTTACTGCACACTTCCCGTTTTCTATGATCTACACCTCCTTGTATACAAAGTAGCTCCTATAGCCGATAGTCTATAGTCTATATAGATTGCCTTCTCTCACCACATCATGCCCCCTATATGCTATCCTGCCCCTAGAACCCCCTAATCCTACATGTAACCCCCTCTCCACAATAATTGGAAATAATTCCTGTATGACGACTATTCACAAACACCGTCATTGCGAAAGACCCACTGTGGTAGCCTGACTGGTGTGTACAACGATGATTTGTTGCTTGACCGCACGCGCTGCAGGGAAGTCTGCACGACTGCTTCCCTCTGTCACCGGTGGCTCGAGTCCGGATTGGTCTGATAACAATTGTTGTTCGTATCCTTGTTTGATGGTACATGTACTCCAGGGCCAGATTCTTGTTTTTCACTCCCCCGTCCCCCGGTCCCCGGGCCCCTCGGCTCACATGTACGTGTGCATGTATACACGATGGAGTGCATTTAATGGGGAAAGTAAGATTAAGCATGTGTTGTACTATACACGCGAGGCTAGGCCCAGCAATTGGATTTTCGAAGTTGTCTAGATACTGTCCATGTAATGTTCATGTACTCCAATTCCATGATTTATGATTTATGATTTATTGATTTCTGTTTCTATTTGGTCGCTTCTACATCCTCTACTAAAAACAAACATTTCAAGGTTGAACAATAACCGCGGGTAATGTAAGGAAAAGACTACAGAGACGATTGGCCCAAAGACAAAAGTGGAGGCCCAGGATTTAATTAATAGATTGGAGTCAAAAGGCGTCTCGACAGTTTCAGGTGACTGGCTCAACGTGTGGAGCTACGAGTAAGAAACCCGTGCGCCAAAAAGCATCCAGCCTATCATCGTTGTCAGCCAGATATTGCCTTTGGAATTGATGTGTACATGTACATTGCAGGGTCTCCGTACATGTAATATAACTATAATTAATCACGAGCTTGGACTTTATGTTCTCCCAGTAAGAGACTAGGGAGGTTGTACTACGTACTCCGTACTATAGATGCTACTAGCATGTAGTATATGTGGAAACGGCCCACAGCCCACAGCCTGCACCTACGTCTACGTCTGCAGAGTACACTTATACAGTCAGATTCAATCTATTGTTTGTTTGAGGCTAGGAGTCTGGATTGGTCTGTATCAGGGTTGGGGAGGTGATAGGTCGGAAACAACTAGAGATGCAGCTGTGAAGCAGAGTGAAGCAAAGTGATGCAAAGTGATGCAGCAAATGTTCCAACCCCCATGCCACGAATCCCTGCTAGATAACGGTTCTACAGATCAAAAGTGAGGAATGTTGAGGAACGTTTGAAGCGAGAGGAGAATTGTCCGATTTCTATTGTCACATGCCCCAAATAACCAAAGCCTACCACATCCTTTTTTGTGGCCCCCTGCCGTAATGTCATTAGATACAGTTGTAGACAATCCCGGCATACCAGCTGACGGGCAATGGACCCGACCAGAGGCACGAGGGCAAAGAGAGAAGAATAGATGATCATACATGGTAGTCAAACACCGAGACACCGTAAAACGAAAAGGGATAAAGAGGTAAAGAGGCCTTAAAGAGTATGTGTACAGGTAAATGCGAAAAAAAGAGATGCAGAATCAGGGAGTCTCTAACACAAAAAGGAAAGGGAAAGGAAAATAATAAAAAATACAGGAACCAGGCTCAACGTGGTTCAGGGGGAGCAGCCGGGAGAATGCATTTACTGCTTGTTCTCACCCTGCTGCTCACCACCCTGCTGCTGCTGCTGGGCCTCGTTGTTGGCCTTGTGCATCTTGTCGAACAGGGTCAAGCTGGCAGTCTGGAGCTCGTCGGTCTTCTCCTTGAGCTCCTCGGCGGTGGCGGTACCCTCACCAGACTGGTTCTTGACAACGAACTCACGGAGAGTGGCAATCTTCTCCTTGATGGTCTCAGCCTCGGTCTTGTCGAGACGGTCCTCGAAGTCCTTGAGGGCCTTCTCGGTATCGTTCAGGACAGAGTCGGCGCGGTTGGCGGCCTCAATGGCGGCCTTGCGCTCCTTGTCAGCCTCAGCGTACTTCTCGGAGTCCTCAACCATGGACTGGATCTCGGCATCGGAGAGACCGGAGCCGGAGGCGATGGTGATGGACTGGTCCTTGTTGGTGGACTTGTCCTTCGCGTTGACGTGGACGATGGAGTCGGCGTCAATGTCGAAGGTGACCTCGATCTGGGGGACACCACGGTGGGCAGGGGGGATACCAACGAGCTGGAAGTTTCCAAGCATCTTGTTGTCCTTGACAAGCTCACGCTCACCCTGGTAGACCTTGATCTCGACAGCGGTCTGCATGTCGGCAGCGGTAGAGAAAGTCTGGGACTTCTTGGTGGGGATGGTGGTGTTACGGTTGATCAGACGGGTGAAGACACCGCCAAGGGTCTCGATACCGAGGGAGAGGGGAGTGACATCGAGCAGGAGAACGTCAGTGACCTCACCAGCAAGGACAGCACCCTGGATGGCGGCACCAATGGCGACAGCCTCATCGGGGTTGACGGACTTGGAGGGCTCACGGCCGAAGATGGACTTGACGGACTCGTTGACCTTGGGCATACGGGTCATACCACCGACCAGGATGATGTCCTGGATGTCCCCAGACTGGAGACCGGCATCCTTGAGGGCCTTGCGGACGGGCTCAGTGGTGCGGGCAATGAGAGGGTCAACCAGGGACTCGAGCTGAGCACGGGTCATCTTCAGGTTGATGTGCTTGGCGCCGGAGGCGTCAGCAGTGATGAAGGGCAGGTTGATCTCGGTCTGGAGGGAAGAGGACAGCTCGATCTTGGCCTTCTCAGCGGCCTCACGGATACGCTGGATGGCCATGCGGTCACCACTAAGGTCGAGACCAGACTCCTTCTTGAACTCGCCGACGATGTGACGGACGAGGTTGATGTCGAAGTCCTCACCACCGAGGTGAGTGTCACCGTTGGTGGACTTGACCTCGAAGACGCCCTTCTGGATCTCAAGGACGGAGATATCGAAAGTACCACCACCAAGATCGTAGACGGCGACAACACGGTCGGTCTCCTTCTCCATACCGTAGGCAAGGGCGGCAGCGGTGGGCTCGTTGACGACACGGAGGACGTTCAGGCCGGCAATCTGACCAGCATCCTTGGTAGCCTGACGCTGAGAGTCGTTGAAGTACGCGGGAACAGTGACTACGGCGTTCTTAACGGGCTTGCTGAGGTAGGCCTCGGCGGTCTCCTTCATCTTGTTGAGGACGAAACCACCAACCTGGGAAGGAGAGTACTTCTGGCCACGGGCCTCAACCCAGGCGTCACCGTTGGAGTGCTGGACGATCTTGTAGGGGACCTCCTTAATGTCACGCTGAACCTCAGCATCGGTGTACTTGCGACCAATCAGACGCTTAGTAGCGAACAGAGTGTTCTCGGGGTTGACAACAGCCTGGCGCTTGGCGGCAATACCGACGAGACGCTCGCCATCCTGGGCGAAACCAACGACGGAGGGAGTTGTGCGGGCACCTGTTGGGAGATCTAGTTAGCAACCCGGTTCTGAAATTTCGGCCCTCGGCAGAGCTCCCGAGGTTGAGCTCTGGTCACTTGACCGCGTGTAAAAGTTTTTTTTCAACGTACCTTCGGCGTTCTCGATGATCTTAGGGGCCTTGCCTTCCATAACGGCAACAGCGGAGTTGGTGGTACCTGTAATTGACAATGTTAGGATGATGTTGATGAATGAATGTCGTTGCGATCACTTACCAAGATCAATACCGATGACTTGGCCCTTCACCTTCTCCTCACCACCTTCCGTTGAGTTCCATCTCCGGATTGATGCGCCGGGGAATCTGGAGGCAGGGGTGCGAGCGAAAGCAGCGCGCGGGAGCTGGGAGAAATGTTAGTGTCAACGCGTCGAATTTTTTTCGGGCCAAGG